CTCATCCACTGGTGTTTATACTAATGTAGTGTTTGAAATGCTTTATTGACATATGGGAAAGCACAGTCTCCAGCCTGAAGAGCTTACAGTCTCAAAGACAGAAACCAGATGAAGGGTGTTCTCTTCCTGTAGCTTATTGTAGGTTTTGAAGCTTTGCTCATTTCCATCAGGTCTTAAATATGCACTGAATGCTGGAAAGCGGGTTTCTGAGTGAGTACTCTAAGCTTGCTGGACAAAGTATCTACTGCATGGTTACCTTTGATTTCAGAAGGTTTCCAATATGGCAAGTCTATGTTCCTTGGTACAATCAATAGGAAGATGCAAACACTAGTGGGGACGGAATCTATAGCTGTTTACAACGTATCCAACAAATTCCCCCAGTTTTGGAGATACCTTGTGCCCTAAGGTGAGCTCTGAACCACTGTTGTCTTCTGCTACAGAAAGAAGAGTGGAGGACAGAGTCAGTACAACCTGCTAGTTCCTTCACTGAAGAGTTCCGTCAAGGCGATTGTGCTGTAACCATCTCCCCCCAGAAAATTAACAGCCAAGGCTCAGGGTTTGGTTAAATATACATGTATATCTTATTTTGTACTCCTTACAAAGATTCCCTGAAAAGTATGCAGTAAAGTAGCTCTTGATGGTGTTAATGCCATGAGGAAATGAGTAGTTCTGCATTCAGTGCACCACCTGCCAACCACACAGTAAATAAGGCCATACAAGAAGTGGTGAGAAACAAAACATCAACCACCTACCCACTCATTAAGCATTAGCCATGCTGTGCACTGAACAATATGCAGGTCTTGTAGAAGGGGGAAAAAAAAAAAAATTGAAGCAATCCTCTAATTAAAGGCAATCAAAATGAATATTTACCAAGAAAATTAACTAATAGCTTTAATTGTAGAATTTTCTAGTCTTTAGTCGCTTGGTTTTGCAACTCTGAAGTTCAGACCTGTTCAGTAACCTAAAGGCCTAACTTAAGGCATTATTTATCTTATTTTACTTCTATACAGGAAACTCATAAAACTCATGCAGTTGACATCTTTACCCTTATTAGGTACGCCCACACGTGCAAGACCATTGCTTTCACTGATGCCTATCACAGCAACCAGACAACAAGAGAGGTTAAAGAAGAGATACCCTAGCTCTATTTTGGATTAAGGTAATTCTGGAATAGAAACAGGGCTTCAGTACATCATTACTATTACAGTGAGTCTTCCTAGCAACACTAGATTTAAAACCTCTTAAAAAAAAAAAAAAATCCAAGGAACCCAGCTAGCAAGGATAAAAGATCAAAAGAGTATAAATTAAATATATTATTAGTGGAGAAAATGTACATATACGCACATACGTATTTGGAAGCCTTTAAAATGGTACACATAAGTTAACCAGTTAGAAAGCAATTGCCCAGCAGAGCTGAAAAATAGCTAGGAGAGACTAACAGTAACATGTTTTCATTTTCTTTTCGAACTCTGGTACAAATTCAGCTAATATCACTTTGTATGATCTCATGCTGGGATAAGAGCCAAAAGTTTCACTTGAAATCTGCAGTTATCAGATCTGGAAAGCTTTTCAATCACTTAAGTTTGAGAAGCATTAAAAAAAAGAAAAAAAAAAAAAAAAACACACCTAAAAAAAGACCAGAGATAAAAGGCCAGGGGCTTGAAACACTTATCACTTCATCATAATCTTCCATTTGATGCTAGGTCAGCATCTTTACGGGTACAATGGAATGCTTGCTTTACCTATATTTTGAGAGGTTTTGGAAAAAAAATAAAATTAATATATGTACAGGGTTAGAAACAGGCACAGAGCAACAAGGCCAGGCAATCCATATGGAGGACAAGCTCCTAAGCTAGCACATCCAGGAATGGAAACACTCCTAGGCATAAAGGGAGGTTTCCAATACTCACTTCCAGCAGCGAAAAGCTGCAAACACACAGCCACCTTGCTTTGGTGTCGGCCTCACGAGCACCAGCCCTGCCACACAGCGGGGACGGCAGCCGGGCAGCACGTACGGGGAAGCACGATGCTCCCCGAAAGGGCAGGGACGCTACAGCTGGACAAGCTCTACCCCCCGCTGTGCCACGGCCCCGGGGACCCCAGGCCTGCCCATATCGCAGCTCTGTCATCAGCACCTCCCTCTTACCATTACCTGGTGCCTATAAAACCAGGGCAGGTTCACAAAACCCTCAGAACTGATCCAGACCGAGGGTGAAAGAAGAAGATGACAAGATGTCCAGGATAATGTAATGCCCTGCTGGAAGCAGACATTCTCTACATGGTTAAGCAATTGCTAAAACAGGAGACTGACAGCTCCCCATAACACCACCTACGGACTGCATGAGGACAGATCAAGGTAACAAGTAGCATATATTTGGCACCTTCAGTCTCCTCTTGATAAAACCAGTACACCACAAACACTCCACAAGCACAGCTGTAGTCAAAGGAAAAAGCAAGCATGAGGTAAAACTGAATACAACCACAAGCACAGAGTGCTCAACACCTTGCCAAGCTGATGGCTGTTTTGACAGACTGTGCCAATTTATGAGCTATTAGGGCAGCTTCAAACCTGCTCTGGTTTTCAGGCAGGAGCCACATTGACAGCCCACCTACCTACTACAGGACAAATGCTACTCATACAAAGCCCAAATCTTTAAAACATCTGCAACCATTTCAATCTTACCCTTAGCAGTGAATATGCAGGCCAGCCTATAACTAGACTTCCTTATGACAAACTTCCAAATAAAGTTTTAAAACGTTGTTTTTTCTAAGCAAGCCAGCATATGAAAGATAGGGAAAAACAGAGGACATTTTTAGAAAGCACCACAAGCCACTCAGGTGTGGGCTTGTAGGCTCATGGTTACTCAGTTGTGTGACCCCTCTTCAAAAAACAGAAAATACAGAAAGTACTATCAAAATATTTCTATTGCTTTCCCACACTTACATTAAAGCATTCTTTGTGCATGCAAGCAAATCTAGTGAGCTTTTTAATTTCCTTGCTGAGGAAAGTTGATTTTCCCTCCCTCCAATAAGAGCTGCCATTCCCCTTATACTGGTGAGCAAAAATGAGAAACCTGGAAATTGAATCTTACCACTGTGTCTTTCCTGACGCAGATCCCTGCTCTCCCATTACCTTCCCAAACTCCCCTTCAAAACACTTGTTTTCTCATTATTGCCACATTTCTCACCCCCTTTCTTCTTTCCTCTTATTCAGAAAGATCTTATTTCAAGTTCCCTGACTTTGTCTTCACCTTTTCTCTCTCACTAACGGAAGGGGAGACTCTTTCATACTTGCTCTCAAGTACAGCCCACCAAGAAGCATCTCTGAAGGGGGGAAAAAAAAAAAAAAAAAAAAAAAGAAGAAGAAAAAAAAAGAAGTTTTGTATACATGGTTCAACAGAAATATTCCCACCCACTTCACTGTACTGCATCCTTTCATCCCACTCTTTGTTCTGGAGAAGCCACACAAGTTACTACTGTTTGTTTCCATCCTTCACCCACTGAGCTCCAGATGCTTTGACACACCACTGACACCCACTTTGCTCTCCTCCTTTACCCTCCTCCTCCTCCAAATGCTGGGACACTCCCGTAGCTCAGGGCAGCTGGCTTCACCTCACCTTGTAGTTCCCCTTCCTCTCCAGCATAATTAACACCTCCTGCTGATTTCTGCCTCAGACTTCCTCCCTGACACCTTTGATGCGATAATGGCATCATCCTTTTCTTCCTACACCTTGGGCTGCAGGCTTGTAGGCAGCATGGCAGCATTATCAGTTCTGGTGATGACAGATTCCTGTCCAGATCTACCTCTATTTTTTTTGGCATAGCCTACCCCAATGTGCATAAGGAGAAGACTCGGGTCATCCCAAGCTGCCCTGGATGGTGCAGCCTTCATTTTCAATCCCACATATGGTTTAAATAGACAAAATAAATCTAAGCCTCAAGAAGGTTTAAATTAATTCAAAGATACTGCTGCTACTCTGACAGCATTAGAGCTTTCTTTGTTCTTTACTATTTCTTGTTGTATCAAAGCTTGTTCCACAGCTGTCTGTTCAGCAATACCTGCAATCAAAAGCTCATCTTGTTATGCATTGCTCAGCATCGGTAACTACACAGGACCACATACATACTCCTGATGGACCTGTACAGATGCAGAAGTGAGAATCCCCTGCCAAGAGGCAGGGCTCCAACATCTTGGGTTTTTTCAATACAAATTGGATCTATTTACTTTGAGCATATCGTACCAGGAAACATAGAACTTATTCACTGGTCAGTACATGAAGGTGGTACATGCTAGGTACTCCCAAAGTTAGAAGAAATAACAATGTCGAGAGTTAATTTCCACAAAAAGACCATGTGCCTTTTTCTAATGATGGCCCTATGCATCTACAGTCAGAGCCAAAGGGAAGCAAACCTGAAGTGAACTCCCACCCATCTCCCTACTAGGTTTGGCCCCTGGTTTCTCTCGTCTCCCCTGAGGGCAGGAGGCAGGCAGGGAGGTACCTGCACTGGCTTTGCAGCCCCTGGAACTAACTCACCCATCACTTCCACCCTACCAGGCTGCCCAAGCAGCCCCAGTGTGGTATGGACATATCTGGTGCTGATGCTGACCTTTTTCACTAGTAAATATGAGCAGGGATCTAAGTTCCACCTTCAGCTCTTCACCAGTGGCAGCCTTACTCAAAACTGCTTCAAGAAAGGCTAAACTCATTTTGTCAGTTCAGATTTCTCTTGATGTTGGGTGAGAAGCTTCCAAATGTAAAGTTCTGCATTAGGGGAAAATTTACAGAAAACTCACACCACTTTTTATGGAAACCCTCTTATTGCTGAACAGGAACAGAAAACTCTGAAGGCTGATGTTTGTAATTAAGAGGAATATCTGTAGTATCTGCAATTTCTTTCATTCTTACATACAGCCATCTGAATTGTATCTTCCTGTTTTGACTAAAGACCTTCTGAAGTAAGGATTGAGTTAATTATAAATTATCCTATAATTCATTCACCTGTCTTTCCTGGAGCAGAAGGGAGGGGAGTTCAGAATCCTGCATGTAAATCCTTCAATCCCATTCACACTCCTACTTCAGAAGTGTAAATCCTCACACTGCTCTGTGATTCAAGCCTGAAATAAAGAAGAACAGGAATGGGAACACTTAGTAACTTTACGTAATGCACTGATAAACAAAAAATAAAAAACTGTAATAATAGGTGCTTCAAAACAACTGGTTCATAGTACATTACGTCTTGCAGACACTCTAAACACATTGCTCTAATTCAAGGTCAAATGACTATAAGATGACAGAGAACACTGTCATCTTTTATACAACTACATAGTCCTGTATTTCAGGATTTTCCCTGTTTGGTTACGATAAATCCCAGTTAGGCATCACAAGCTCTTCAGTTACTGGAAGTCATCCAGAACTTCTGTCAGGATGCTTCCTTACTAAAAACTTTCTTGAGCAGAAACACAACCTGGAAATGTGCTCTTGAAACAGAACCTTGAGAAATAAAATTTATTGAACTTTCACGCTACAAAAAGGAAGCAGAATTGTGTCAATGGAAGACAAATATCCCCTTGGAAGCACATTCTCTTATTCTCTGCAGCCTCTGCAGTTGCTAGCTTTCAGTGGCTTTTATTTATTTTACCAAATCAACTCCAAAAGCAGGACAAAAGCACTGAGCAGCAGCAGTGGGTGATGTCCCCATGACACTGCAGAACCCTGTTGGCCGCCTTCCAGCACACCCCTCGCATCATGCCTTCTGCCACCACCCAAGGCACACAAAGTAACTCCTGCCCATCCTGAAAACACAGGCTACTGTGGGATGGCAATTCCAGTTTTAACAGCCAAAAGGCAAGACCAAGGCTGAATCCTTACTAAGAAAATGGTAATAAAAGATCCAACATAGTAGCTAAGATTAAGTATAGAAACTCCTTATCTGCATATCACTCATGCAAGTATATTCTCATGAAAATATGCTCTCACACCATTTATTTCTTATTTTTCCATTTATACTTAATTTTTATATAGTATTACTATAAATACCAGTTTTCTCAATTATACTGTGTGCACTTGTGTGTGCATGGGTATATGCATGCCCACACGTGTAGCATCCACTTCTATAACCTTGAAAGAAAATCAATGTAAGCAGGAATTCCAGTCTGAAATCACAAAGTTTTAAAGTACATGTCTGTAGCATTGAACCATGCAGCATGAACTAAAGACATTGAGGCCTGGCAGATTTGTGGCATCCGGAGAGCCAACCTTGAGAGAGATTCTTCCAACAGTCAAAACATCAAATAAAAGCCCACTTCTGCAAAACATTCTGAAAATCTGAGAAGGATAAAAGAAAGGACCTTTTGTCAGCAATAAACTTTTGTTATATCTAAGAACATTAAGTGCACCTTCAGTTTTCTAACAGTATGAATAAAACACATTGGGGTTGATCAAAGTCAGGAAAAGTTCAAGTCTTAGCCACCTAGATAGCATGATCCTTGTCCAAACTAAAAGCTTAAGAGTTAAAATAAAGGAAATTGCAAGCCTGCAAATAAAAAATAAAAAAATAAATAAAAAAAAAATAAAAAAAAAAAAAAAAAGGAGGGGGAGAAGTTGATTAACACCCAGTTTTCGATTAATGCTTCACAGCCAAAGCAGCCAATGGACTCCAGCTATCAGAGCCTGTAGAGGTTCTGTAGCGCATACTAAGAGACACTCTCAAAAGCAGATAGAGCATTTTGACCACTGTGGTGTATCTGAAAGATCCCGTGCTACACACGCACACACAATGCTTTAAGGGTTACAGCCGAGGCCACTGGTTTGACAACCCAGCAGCTTGCTGTTTATGCAAATGGATGGTTCGGGAACTTGCAATTGGTTTTTGTATAATCCTGATGTATGTACAGTGTAATATTCTCTGCACGTGCTGGAAATTTGTGCAGAATAACTGCGCAGGGCTTGGACAGCTTTGCGTTCAGATTTCTGGTGGTTCAGTTTATACCTGGAGCAAATACAACATCTATGAATACAAATCTCTTCCTATTACCAACTTAACCGATTGTACGTGACTAAACATAAGATGCTGCATTCAGTTACCTTGCTGAGGAATGTACTGCGCATTAAACTAGTAATGGAGAAAAGATCACTGAGCTTCATAAATGAGAAGTCTTACCTTCAAAACATACAGCCTCGTATTTTCTAACTTAAGCAACTAAAACTGCAAGAAAAGGAAAGATACCAATGGAAGCCTCTGGGGGGTGGAAATCACATGAGTTTGGATACCGCTGACAGCCACAGAAAAGATGAAACCTAAATTTGATTAATTAAACCTAGCATCATTTAAAAAGTTGCTCGGATCCTTGACTTTAATGACTGGATCACTTCTTGTGAACCATGAGGAAGTCCTCTATCTTCCCCAGCTCAAACAGAAGAAGTCATTATTACAAGACTAACGCATGAAGCAAGTATGGTCTGTAAATGTTCGTAATGACTCTCTCCCCATGCACTTTGGGCTGGGTGCAAAGAACATTTCAAAGCCCAGCTGTCACCAATATCTGTGATAGCTTCTTCAAACGCACAGACACACACACAGCGTAAAATCTGCTGGCAGCTGGTGTGAACAAGGAAAGCCAGAAGTCTCAGGTCTGGAGAGATCACACGAAATGCATGCTTTGTTGCTCAAAAGTTAAAAATAAAAATGGATGGGCACAAAAATAGAGATGAGTTGTTTAGTGGGCAGACCTTGAGGCTCATTCTCAAGCTTGGATCCACTGAAACCAAAGGGAACCTGGGTTTCTTGAATTGGCCCTAAATTCTAACAGCAAACTACAAGCCATGGTATTTGCCTCATTTTTGTGCAAGAAAACCTGCAGACACAAACCAACCATATTACATTTCCTTATATACTTCTACAAAAGAGGGAGAACACAGGAGTTCATGAAAATACAGCTGATAATTGCAATGTATCTTCCATTTATCTAAGAAATTTGGGTCTGAAAGTCTGCCTGGTTTCAGGTATCTAATTCTGAATGATCTGATTTAAGGTTTATCATAATCTTTGCAAACGGGAAAAGAAAATTCTGTTCTTTTTAACACATTCAAAACAATACCATCTTTATTTAAGATTCAAGATGGCCAGATAGAATACTTCATTTTTTTATGTAGCCACGTGCTTGTATTTCATGAAGGAGCTAACTGAATAATTATACCAAGATACACGGCTGAGATACTGAAGAGTAAATTCCCTTCTCTGCATAAGCTCTACTATCAAGGCAACCAACAGTAAGTATCTTTTAATACTTTTATCTGTAAGAAAAAAAAAATAAAAATAGAATAGTCACAGAAGCTCGATCCTTCTTTTCAAAACCCTGCCAAAGTCATCTGAAACACATTTGTCAAACATACATAGCAAAGAAAAATGCAGGACCCTCCTAGCATTTGAGAGAGCATGAGGGAAGAGAGGAGGAGAGAAACTGCTCAAATGAAACTCAACAGAATAAATCAGGCCACTTAAATGCATACATCTTCCTCCACAGGATCTTCCTACAAAACATTCGCCCAAGATGCTGTGGACACACACGGGTGTGCACCTGTGAAGGGGTGGGATCCAGCCCTGCCAAAACAGACCTGACTTCCAGTCACACCACTGGCCAGGCAAGATGGTGAAATTCCCCTTTTCCCCTGCTTTTAATGCAAGCAAACTAAAGGAAGGAAGGATCCTGTCTGCCCTGGGCCCGCAGCTGAAGGCAGTGAGCAGCTGACAAGCAGCATGCAGTTGGGGTCGTGCAGGATGGGGCTTCGCACATGAGCCAGACAGGGGTGTCTGCACGGGGCGGACACCTCCGTCCCCAGCCCTCTCCCATGGCACCGCATTTGACAGGGTCCTGCCCTTGCACCCTGCGCACGAAGAGCTGCAAGGTGCTCGCACGTGATGGGTTGGTCAGGGCCAGGCTAGAGATCTGCACATGCCAGGATGCACAAAATCAGTTCAAATGCCCCAAAGAAGCAGCTTCAGATGAAGAAATTAAATGCCAGTTACTTTGTAACGCAGCACTCTTGCAGAAACACCCATGCACCTGCACATACACAGAAAAGGGAGAGGAGGTTGCGGAGGACCATCCATACTCTAAAACCACTGTGAAATACAGCAAGTTGAAGGTCAATTGGTTGCAAGGTTTTCCTGGAAATACAAATATACTTCCAGAAATCAGCCTTGGTGTTCTTCCCTCATCCAAAAAAATGTTATGCCTCTCTCCACAACCAGAAGGTTTCCTGAAAGACTACTTTCACAACCATCAATACCACTAATGATCTTTTGATTGATTGTTATTTTAACAAGTAAAATCATATCACTTTGTCAACACAATGCTGATATGACCCAGAGTTCAGCTGTATTGCTTTCAAAAACATTATCAAAGAAGTGGCAAATTGAGCCTCGGGATCTTAAGAAAGGTAATTCATATTTGTTTATACCTCTTTCAATCCTATCCAATGCAGCCAGAGCTTGTTTGAGGGGGGCAGGAATGGAGGTTTCAGCGCTTGCTTTCTTAATAAAGACCATACATAATGTGAGCCAGAGAAGATCTCCCCACTCACCTCACCATCAAGAAACACAATAGGGGAGAAGGCAAACCATACAAATTTGGGTCACATCAATCCAAAGCCCATATACACTCTGACAGTCACCCCCACTGCCCCACTCCATGCTGTGACCCCTATTATCCCCCACTGGGGCGGAAGAGGAGAAGGAACAGCAGCAGCAGGAATCGCTTCATCCCCTATCACAGGGAAAAAGTAGCATCAAGATTACCTTGTTGTGCCAACTCCCATGGGAGCAAAGAGAAGATGCCTGTTATTTATGCCCTTAGCTCAGAGCTCAACATAGAATTAGTTTTCAGGGTGAACAAGTGTCATGGTTTGAGCCTGGTCAGCAACCAACCCCCGCAGCTGGTCACCCTCCCTCCCCCTCCCCACCGGGGAATGGGGGAGGGAATTAGCGGGGTGAAGGGAGACTCGCAGGCTGAGAGAGGAACAGTTTAATAATGGCAATAAAATGAGAACAATGATGATGATAGGAAAAAAATTAAATATATGAACAGGCAATGCACAATACAATTGCTCACCACCC